AACATTGCTGAATTATACATATAAGTACTGTTATGTATAAATGCATAATGTAAACTTATGATAATTATAAAACAGTCTATATATAAATTCACTATTCTTATATTTGATATCTCATGAAGCTGTCGCAGGAAATTATATGGGTAATAAATAATTAATAGTCCCATAAAAAATTAATCTGGGAAATATTGTATCTCTTTCATATATTGAAAAAAATATGTGATTATTAATCAATTCCATAGTATATGTATGTATATAGTTCACATGTTCTTAAAATCGCACACATTACTCTTTAGTTTCAAATTCGTATACGTTACAGATACAGGAGATAGAAATAAAAACGAACTTTACAATTCTAGTTGCAAAATTCATTTATTTTGCTCTACGAATGCAGTCAAAATTTGAGAACAAAAATTTATTGATTTGTTTTGTACAGTGCATAATCTTTTGGAATTCGTATTATATTCAGTCAATATAAATAGGGAGAATGGAATTCATCGATTGCACAATCGATGCGTGTGTCTCATGAAATATTAAATCAAATTAAGTTAAACTATAATACGTTCGTGCTTTCACAATATAATATAACATACCATTAATATCTGTGAGAACATCGAAAGATAATATATATATATATATATATATATATATATATATATATATATATATAATTATGATATAACTATGATTTTTTTTCTCGGAATTATCATAATTTTTATATAAATATACATAAAATATAAGGAAAAAAAATTAAAGAAAAATATGCGATGGGCTCATAGGAACAATTGAAGAATGAAAATCAAATATCCCTACTGTTTTTCAAAGAGAATCAAAATTCAAAAATGATATTCTGAATATTATGAAATGTGTATATATCTATTTTGAATTGTATTTTAATAAAAAAGAAAAAAAAAGTGTTTTACATTTTTTTAAATATTTAGTGTAATCTTAATATTTAGAAGCACGAGTTGAATAAACAATAATAAATTCGATACTTGACATTCTCATTGTTATTAAAATATAATTCTCTAATGATATTTAAATCAGTAAATAGATACATTTCTATTATATAAATAGATACTTTGATAGAATCGTTGAATATACAAGAAATATATACTTAAAAATTCATCATTAATCATTAGATTTAAATCAGAAACCACAAAAAAATTGTCTTCTATAACTTAAATGGATTGTGTACATTTTTAATTTCCATATCGATATTTGTAAATTTGAAAATTTCACAGCTTTTAATAATCTTAGAAATATTTAGATAATCTTGTTTATTATATTTACAAAAATATATCGTAATGATGAAAATTATCTTTTCTTATGATATATATATATATATATATATATATATATATATATATGTGTATACATATACATATACACACACATATATATATATATATATATATATATAATATATTATATACATATATATAGTATAATATAATATTATATATATTAATTATATATATATATATATATATATATATATATATATATATCAAATTGACCGAATAATAATTTAATAAATTTAGATTTAGAATAGATTTTAGATAAAAATAAATTAATATAAAATATATTTGAAATATTTTCAAAAAAAGTTTTCATCTTTAATTTCAAACTTGTGTTTTGATATTTGATTTCCACTCTTCTTAGGGGACATCTATCTTAAAAATTAAAAAGTATTAATAAAAAAAAAGTCCATACGTCTCTCCTATAATTATATTGATTGGAGATATAGCCAATAAATTATAAACAATAATATCGCTAATATGAATATGAGGTTATTCTTATTAATGGTCTAATGTTGGATTTTTTTCGTCTTGTTCGTAATCTTAACGCTTTGAAAAGACGGTAAAGAGTCTCCTGTGGATTATGATCCTAAAAGAGCGATGTTATAGAATTATTCTATTTTTCGGCAGGATCGCAATTGATAAGTCTATCGAGAAATCGCGGAATCACGTTATACGCTTCGTCTTAAAACGAAACATAATTCGAATCTTAATGATAATGTAAGGATTGATATGGATTTTTTATAATCAGACTATTTTTTGTCATGGTATAATAAATAACAATGTAATTTATCATTTTAGATTTTGATCGTCCAATTTTGTTAAGATCAAATTAGAATTGTTCAATACATTCGAAGCTTTGTTTCAATATGTATTAAAAAAATTTCATAATAATAAATGAATAGTATCTCATAATAAATAATACATTTTCAATGAATAAATAGAGTTTAGAAAATCATGATGACACGCGTCATGATGACAAGCGTTTTACTGTTTACCAAATTATAGTTTTTTCTCAAAAAAGTAAAACTAAAATCTTATTAGCATCATTTAACAAAAAGTATACATATATAGTATTACATTTATAATTAATAAGATATTATATAATTAATTTCAGAAAAGTGTATTGTATTTTCAGAGTTCTAATTTAAAATTAAATTATTGAGATATTTATATATTTCCATGGCTAATGTCAAAAATGTGTATGACTAAAAAATTTGTATTGTTCAAGATCTTGTTCTCTTTTTTTTTATCGTTAAAACACACGAGGCCCGATTGTGATAGCATTGGTTTTCGAGTTAATTCTTGAGATAAAATAGTCAATCAGTCAATAAAGTGAACGTTCCATAACTTATCAAGTTACGCGAAACTTGATCAATCAGTTCAACTGTCATTAGAATTAATATTAACACGTTCAATGCCGCATGAATTTTAATTTTTCTGGAAGTGTAATTAGGAATTGTACATCGTAAAAGTATAAATCAAATTTAAATATCGTTCTTCTTCATACGTATATACACATTTTTAAGTACAGTTTTATATATATACCACTGAGACATTGCTCTTCGACACGATTGCCGCGACATTGAAAGTATTAAGAGATTACACGATGTGGATACACGTTTATGATCGAGAAATGAACGTGTTGACTCGCTCTCGAGAGTGCGATCAAGATGTGCACTTCGACCTTCTCGACTATTGACGCAAAACAGTAGTATGAATGATATGGGGATGATTCAGGCGATGTCGTGAAAGTCAGCCGAAGAAAGTTTCGAGCACATCGTCATTTCACTCTCGAGTTTAACTTATATCGTAAATAATGGCAGTTTATCAGTTTTCATATAATATAAAGTCAATGATCAGTCAATAGAGAAGGACTCTGTGTTTCTTCTCGTGGATTTTTCAGTCAATTTGCACGATTAAAGGCATAATACCTTTTTTTCCATTCTCGTCTCCTCATAGATCAGACGTTAAAAATCGCTCTTAAAACATGTAAACATTCTTTTGATGGAATAAGTAAGAGCAAGTTACTTCGTGTGTAAAAATGATTCGACAGCTGATTTTAGACTATCGATAAACTTGTTGAGCGCGGTGACGAGACGGCGAGTATGAGAATACTTTTATTTGACTATTTCGAGATGGGTAATGTAATAGCAAGGATGATCGTCGCTAGTATCCAATACACATTCATATCATTCTTCGAATAAACGACTTACAAATAAAAAATGCGAGGTCTGTGTCAAGAGTATATATCGTAAAGTATCAAATCGTGGCTTGTTCGTATTGGCCTTCTATTCGTTCCTGTTATACACGCACTAGCGTACGAGATACGTATCGCGCATTTCTTTCGTTTCATCGCGTCTCCCTAGCATAGTCGGTGAACATAATAATAAGCGAACGACACGAAATTGTTCTATCGATCTATAGAAGTCCCCTTAGTGACTTCTATTAGACGCGGGCATGTTAATTCGAAGAAAAATAATCGCAACAGAATATCATTCGTCGACAAAGACGATCGTATTCGCGTCCTCAATAATAACGAATCGTTTCGGGGAAAACCTATGTCTATTAATATTTTTAAATCACAGTCAATTTAACAGGAATGGACATCATGAATAGCAATAAAAATAAAAATAATAATAATAATAATAATAATAATTAATAATGAACGAAAGCGTTACATGTGACTTTATTTTAATTGCTATTATTATTATTATTATTATTATTTTCTCGTTTCCGTATACTATGTTGAGCGTCAAAAAAATGAGCAAATCCATGTGTATACTGCATTTATTTTATCATATATTGCATGTAATCTAAGCGATTAGTTCATACACAATAGCATTTATTTGCCAACTTTAACAAATTTGTCTACTTAGATTATATGTAAAACGATAATGTAAATTCCATTACACATGGATTTTGCAACTCAATATCAATTTATAGGAATGAACAGAGTAAATCTACAAATCGATATGCTCTTCCGCGAGTACTTTTAAATCGTGTCGTGATTCAATCATAGAGAAGAAAATGGCTTCAATTGGTTACATGTCTTTGTAATCACTGGATATAAATCACTGGGTCAGTTTATTCAAGTAATCAATTAAAAGTTAATTCATCTCTAAGGTTGAAAAGATAAATTGCGAAATATGATAGCATATATATATAAAAAGTAAAATAAGCTTTTAAGATCTTTGATAAATGTTTAGTGAAATTGAATTCAATAATCCTGTATTGAATTAATGTAATTGGATTAATGTTCGTTACAAAGCAAATGCGAACCATGTTAGGCAGACAAAACGATGGTAGAAAGCGTATCGATGTAAGCTCTAAGATTAAAAAATTTCTAATTATCTTATGTAACGAAAACGCAATGAGCAAAACTAACAGGTTTATTTGTATGTTGTGATGTATCTACAATTATTTAGACTCGAAATGTGCATTGTTTACTAATTCATAAAGTTGAATATGCTGTGCGCAACGAAAATCTATGATATAATCTAAAAAATCACCAACTATATGTTTTTATTGGCATTTTTTTTAATCAGTTATTGTTTAGTCTTAAAATAATTCTTAATGGATTTCATTGTAATTGGTTGCAGCACTGCTAAAATAAAACTAAAATTGATCAAATTTTTTAAATATCGTATATCAAATTATCAAGGAAAAGAAAACTGAAGAGGTAAAATAAAGAAAGCATAATTTCGAATCGTTAAATTCATTTGGCACAGATACAATCGACATTTTAACATACTGCAACTATATTGGAATTACCTATCCTATCAGTTTTTCACGTATGATCCTGTTCTCTGTTTAGGCAATATAAAAAAGATAAGTCAGTACACATGTCATGTAAATATTAATAATAGTATGGGGGAACTTTTAAAAACACATAGTAATCGATTACAGTGAATGACACGTTCGATTACTTCTAGACCGATCACGCGCGAAATTACAGCTAAGAAAGTTTTGCAAATTTAATCGTAATAGGTCAAACTTTCCCTCATAAAAATTGTCATAATAATAATCGAAAATGGATCATTATTAGGGAAAGCAAACAGAAAAAAAAACTAACGATAGAAGCCGATCTCCGCGATATAGGCATCAGTCAGTGTATATACGAGTTAACATAAAACGTTAACGATGTAGACATCATATAAATAGAGAAATTGGCCATCACGGAAAGTAAAATATACAACTATCGTAATGTTCAAAGAACAATCAAATCTTTCGTATCATATCCCGCTATTTTCTTTCTCTCGTTATAATCGCTGAAAAGAATGATAGTTTACGAACTGCATTTTAAAATAGCGCGTCACGTTTTTGACACGTAGTACGATTTACGTAAAGTATATGGAATCAATTTATATCAGTTTATACCTGTGAATAAGTACTTGTGGATTAGGGTTATGTATGTAGGACTTCTTAAACTGTATAAGAACAAAGTTAAGACGTCGCTGCTACAACTACAGGAGGAACAACGTCAGGTTCTCCAGCACCCTCGACTACGGTAGAATCGACGACCTTTTTAACTTTTATGGACTCCGCACTACTTTCCGACGAACTCTCAGGCTCACCGTTTTGCGCTGCCGCTTCTTCGCTCGTCGTCTCCTTCGACGGTCCTTCGTTCAGTCCATTACTGTGTAATTTGTCATCCAACACTGGCACATCCGTATTTCCGTTTTGCGCGGTTCCATTGAGTTTTTGCTTTTCCGAATCCACTATATTTTTGTCTTTCGTATCCACTACATTTTCTTCTTTCACTGTCTCTTCATCTTTTGTCTCCTGTTTCGTAGTTTCATTCTCGCGTTTTTCAGCGTCAGTGACCATCGTTTCCTCCGTTTCTTGGGATGTCTTTTCATCGATTTTTTCAGTTTTCGCGACTGTTTCTAAACTTTTTTCTGCGGATACATCAGCCGGCGTTGTTACTTCTTTTTTTACATCTGTTGTACTAGTTGTTGCTTCCATTTCTGTTACCGTAATGTTTTCTACAGCTGCCTGTGTAGTCTCCCCATTTTCTGCAAGGTCTACTGCAATCGGCTCTACATTTTTTATTTCTTCTTGTTCATTCTTTGTTACATTTTCGTTTTCAGATTTGCCGGAAACTATCTTTGATTCTTTTTCCTCTTTTTCATCCTTTTCTGCTGTCAAACATTCTTTAAGTTTGTCCGCTGTTGTGTTGTCACAATTTTGTGATTGCGGTTCAATATCGTCTTTTTTATCATTATCAGCCACTTGAGTTTTGTCAACAGATTCAACTTTTATATCTTTCGCAATGTCTGTTGAATCTTTAATTTTTTCTTCGGAAGACGTTGGAGTATTTTCAGATTTTGATATAGACTCTGATATGGATACATCTAGGGATTTATTGGCAGTGGGAACAATTTCAGTTGTAACTGTATCCAAGTTTTCTTCAGTCTTTTCTGGTATAACAATTTGATCACTTTTTTTTGTGGTTAGGAGTGTAGTGTCATCTTTCACAGTTTCTTCTGCATTTCCAGATGAGTTGTTTGTATCTTCATTCATATCCTTAGGTTTGACAACAGATTCTTCTGCTTCTGCAATTGGAGTCTTTTGTTCAGAATTTGAAGGATCTTTTTCAATAGCCATTGGTTCTTCTTTTTGTGGCGAAGAAATTGAAGTATCTTGTGACATTTGATTCTTTAGACATTCTGTTCCTTCTGATTCAGTCTCTTTTTTCACATCTTCGTTTTTTTTAATGTTTGGATCATTAATGTCGGGTACTTCTACATCTTCAGAAGTGTCCATTGGCTCACTGACGTCAGTTGTATCTTTGTCAATTTTTTCATTTGTTGTTTCTAATTTCTGTCGTTTTGTAGATGTTTGAAATGTTAAATCCAAAAAGGACTTGATAGTTGTATACATAATTTTTTCTTCATCATTGAGGGCTGCATTACCCTCACGTACTACGATGACTGTTGATAAACCTGCTTCCTTGGCAGCTGCAGCTTCTATCATTTAAAAAAGAAATAGAATGAGCAAAAATAAATTTACAGACATTGTCTAAAAATATAATGTAGTAAATCTATATAATAAATCTATACAAAAAAGCCGTTTCTTTCCTACATTTAGAAAGAAAAGAAATATACAAACCTTTTACAACATCAGTGAGGAAAACAACATTGGATGGTTGGTCATCAATTTTACTTAATATATTTTTATAGCTATCACTTTCTTGCTTGGCACCTACTTCTGTATCAAAGAAACCACTGAAATACTAAAAAAAGGGAAAAAAAGATAATGTTATAGTATCTTACTCAGATATAGTTTTCAGGTATAGTTTTAGTATCTTACTCAGATATCTGTAGTTGAATATCTTTAATAGTGCATTGTATTGTTGTATAATACCTTAAGCAAATCGCCATGTATAGAATGCCCAAAAAGAAGTTTTTGTGCCTCAACACTGCCACTTGAGTAAACATATATTTTTCTGCCATCATTTTTCCAAGATTCAAGTGCTTTAGGAACATCTTCATAAACACTAAACAAAATATGCTCTTGAAACTTAATATTATAATAATTTCTCTATTCGTTTAGCTAAAATTTATTATTATATTTATAATATAATAGTTTTCACAATCAATATAAATTTAAGAATGTTATTTTAGGAATTTGAAGATAGAAAAAGTTATTTATAAAATAATGTCTCATACAATAGTTGCTTAAGGGAAAAAAAGAAAAAACTAACAATTACAATGCACAAACAAATTCACAAATTAGTATAATCTAAAATGTTATAGAGAAAAATATCATAGAACTATAAAATACAAGCTTCACATAAAATCTATTCTTATTTATGTATGATCTTTAATATAACATAGACGATATTTTATAAAAAGTAAAATAACTGAAGTGAGCCCAAATATTATGTATGTTCACCTCACTATTTATTAAAATATGTTATCTAAAGCATGTAATAGAAACTTATATAAATATATATATATATATATAAATATAAATATATATATATTTATATATATAAATACACACACACACACACACATAATACACACACACACACACACACACACATATATATATATATATATATATATATATATATACATACACATAATGTCATTCTTTATTTTTATATTTATGATACCACTTGTATAGACTTTTAAATTCTAATATTTTATAAAAAGATTTTTATACATAAATTTTATAAAAAAGCAATATGATGCATAAAAAATGAATGATTATTCATTGCAAGTGAAAAAAAGTTAAAGGAAGAATAAAATAGAACAACTTACTGAGCTTTAATTGCGCCTGTTTTATATGCTTCACGCCACATATGTCCTTGTAGTTGCTTTAATGCCCCTGTTTTACGATCGCTATCCATTTGCCACAAAACATTTTTCAAAAGTGAATCTTTTTCTTCTTCAGGCTTATCACCAATAATTGCTACAAAGCCATCTAATTTATCATTTTCATCCTTTTTTGCCTAAAAAAGCACATTGATTGACTATTGATGATATTGATAAAAAAAAATATATAAAATATAATAAAATACTAAAGAAAATAAATCATAAAACTTCAAAATTTCTTTGCATTAGATCTAAGTCTAAAATAAATTTAATTATCACCGCATAACAGAAAAGAAAAATATACATTATATTAAAACATATATAAAACATAAAAAATATCAAGCTTTATATTAAGGTACAAAGAAGTATGCATAAATCAAGAAAAAAACATCATTCCTGCACAAAAAGATAGTCTTTAATGTTAGAAGGATGGAAAAGGATAGGTACACTTTGATTCTCTTGATTTGTTATTGATATCAGAAATCTCATTACTTTATAGTAAGAATAACTTGAAAAACAATATAATCATTCAATAATTTCTTTAGTGTAACATAAGAAAATCTTCTGTATTCAGTATTTTATGGTATTTTCTAACAATATTATTTCCAAATAGTATTTTAAAAACATACAAGTGTTTTTTTAAAGCTTTCACAATTAACCAGTCATTTGATCAGTTAAATTGATTTTCTCCAATTAATTAATTGATTTTCTTATGTCTTAAATGAAAATTGTTTTAATATATTACTTTTATTAAAAATATTAAATTTTATTTAATGAAAAAAAATTTAAAAAAAGAAAAAACATATACACATTCAAGAAAGATTTTGACACATAATGTGAATTATGACTTGTATTTTTTTCTTACAACATAGATTTTTAAACAAGGATACATATATAAAAATATCTTTTTGATTATTTCCTTTATGAAACTGGTTGCCAGATCTCATATTTATTTCTTTAACTCTGATCAAAATTGTATATTTATCTGTCTTTTAAACTCTGGACAAAATTTCATAGTTACCTGTTCCTTTAATTTCTCATAGTCTTGCTTAAACTCCTCATCCTCCCATTTTGTCTCAATATAATCCTTCAAATTCTGACGCACGTAAGGAAAGAGGGTCTCCTGCAAGGGAAACAAGCCGCGCATAAGCATCAATCGCCGTCGTGGCGGAAGAATCACGCTCGCCGAGAGGAATCTCGTTCGGTGGCGTCTCGGCGCGCCACGTCAATATACATTCGCGACCGATATCTATTAAAATGTGATAGTGTTTATTTTCAAGCTCGATTTTTCGACCGCCCGCTGTTATGGAAATCCGGGAGGGGCGCGGGTTCGCTTCTCGTTAAAGGAAAATTGTCAAGCTAAATTCTTTCTCGAGTCGTCTCTCATTCACAAAACACGACGGCGATGGTGGCGGTGGCGGCGACTTGCCGAAAACTCGAGCCGGCACACCGCCCAGACGCGAGGACAATAACCCGCCGTGGAATTCGACCGTATATATACTCGCTTTTCCGCAGACATCCGGACGATGAGTCGGGATCGCGCGGACGACCGCCATCGCCATCGGCATCGCCATCGCCATCGCCGTCGTCGGCGTCGCCGCTCGCGGAATATCCGTCTGCATAAATTTGGCCGTCCAGGGAATCGAGCGAAACGGCTGCGCCGAGTTTGCGAGACGCGCTCGCGCTATCCGTGCCTTATCGCCTTTGTGCTCTTTACCTTAACGAAGCTGATGCTCGTGGTGGTGCCCTCGATGTCGATGAGCACCGTCCTCGCGGTCTCATCCTGGTCCTGGCTGCGCTTTTCCCCGGCCATTTTCACAAACGACTCGCCCACGACCGTAGAATTAATAACGGTGTATCTATATATATATGTATGGTGTTCCCCCTCGGTTAGGTTGGCGCTCACGCTGTGTATGTCGGCGACGATGCGTTCCTGTTGGGAGCCGGCGAACGAATTCGCCGTTGGCCGTGCGCCAATGTGTGCTCGCCAGAGTCGCCGGTGTATGCGTGCGAACTCTTGCGAATCCCCCTCCGCTCGCGGCTCGCGCCCTGGTGTACCCGGTAACCAAGTCCGTACCCATGAATCTCGGGTGCCCGGATTTTCATCGGAACTCGTCGACCTTGGATCTCGCGGAATATAAAACTGCAGAGATATCTAAAAGACGTTTACAAAGAAATCTTGAAAAAATTGAAAATATTTCTTTAAAAATCTTTACGAGAATTTTTATATATTTACGTTCTATCCGATGAGTTACCGTTCCATTAAATCGCATAAATGTATTGCTACACTTTACGATTCCAACTAGAGTCTTTAACCTTTTAACCTCATCCTTTTTATATTGCTTGATATTAATGGAATGTTTGTTCGTTCGGAGAAAATTGATGTCCGCTCTGTAATTGACGTGGGTGAAAAATCAAAGCTTCAATTTCGGGGAAAAACGCCGGGTTTTGCGGCGAATCGCGACAATCCTGTATTAAATACAAAACCGCGGCCGTAGGTACTCGCGATCGCGCGACGGTGTGAGTGCGTACCGCGAATCGCGCTCGTTCCCCCTCGACTTCGTCCAATCAGCGATCTCGCCATCGCGAATCGGTGTGCGCGCTTGTGTGCGCCCCGTATGCCACCCTTGTGAAAAATTTCACGCTGCTGAATCCTGTGAAAAATGGCTTGCTTTGGCGAGTTTTCACAAGTGGATCGGCGTGAAAATTCGCGAGGTCCCCATCGTCGATTCGTGATCGAAAAACGATCGGTTTGCCCGAAAAACCGACTTCGAATATTGACTCGATAACGAACCCCTTCACCGATATCACTCCGCGGAAAAATAGTTCCATGTCGCGCATTATTTTTTTGCCCATTTTTGAAAAATGGCACGTGATCCTCGAGACTCGATCGTTTTGTTTCAAGTTCGTCGACGGTCTCACGATTATGTCGCAAATCCAATCGTTTCCTTGATACGAAGACATTTTTTCATTGTAGCTGATGATGGAGAATTTCTTGGCTGTCCGTGGAAGAGCACGGGCGATCACCTGATTTTTGCGCCAATGCCACGTCCATTTAAATTTCTGTGTGACGCGCGCATCGCAGTAGCCATTTAAATTTGAATGACGATGACTACATTGCTTTAATCTCTCGGCAATATTGTGCGATGTTAATATATATATAAACATATGTACAATATATATTGCAATGACATATGGGTATATTAATAATGTTAGAATAGCCATAAGAATTTCCCTAGGAAATATTTCTAGAGTAAAATAAAAATATTTGTAATTTGATTACATACAGAATAAAAAATTAAATAATAATAATATTGTTATGTAATATTACTATAGATAACAATAATATTATATAATCTTATAATTAGAAAAATATACATGAGATAACATGTTACAATTAAACGAATAAATTAAAAGAACAAACAATGCCTGTTAATTTTGTAATGTTCATAAACAGAGATATAAGAATATATTTTTAAAAAATACTTTTTTTCATTCATGAACATATCTTATATTTACAAACCATCATACATTGCATGATGTAATACACATACAGTTACATTATAATCAAAAAGCATGGAATTTAATATAGAAATACAACAAAAATTAACATAAAGATCATTAAATGTATAAAAACATTATTATGTTTATTTGCATTATATTAAAATCAATCAACTATGTGTGTATGTAATACATGTAATATGAATGTGAATATATAAAATTAGTTATTTAATATGATTTAAAAAAGCTATGCTATCTAATGTGTGTATGTGTGTACATATATGTATATACATATATACATATAATATGTATAATGTGCATGTCATATATATGTAGTATTACTATAAATATGTGTATGATAGTACATATGTAATAGTATATAGCATATGTAATTTTATTTTATATAATTTTGCAATTATTTATAAACTTTATCTAATTATATTATCTGTATAATATAATGCAAAAACATTTTAATAAATAAGATAACAAGATCTGTCAGATACACATAAGAATTTATATCATGTATCTATAATGTATCGTATATATTATTTTTCCATACATTGTCTATATACGAGGTCTGTAAATAAAATAATGAGACTTTTTCGAGATGAACTTTTATTTATAATTTAACTATAATTTAACTATGTTTCCTTCAAAATAGTTCCCTTGGAAAGTCACGCAGCGTCTGAGACATTGTTTGCAGTCTTTATAGCAGTGCTGGAACTCAAAAACTCGAATGACCTTCAGCTGGTCGGTTACAGCCGCTTTTACGTTTTCGGTCGTATCAAAGTGATGTCCTTTGAGATGAGTTTTCAGTTCAGGAGAATACGGCGGCTGGGAGACGACAGAAATGTTTTTCTGTGCTTTAGATTACGGAGTTTTTGGCAGTTTTTGGAGTTTCAGCAATGTTATGAAGACTGGAAACAACGTCTCAGGCGTTTGCGTGGCTTCCCAGGGAGGCTTCAAGGGAACTATTTTGAAGGAGACAGAGTTAAATTATAGTTAAATTATAAATAAAAGTTCATCTCGAAAAAGTCTCATTACTTTATTTACAGATCTCGTATGTTCAGGTATTTATTCCATCAATGTACCAAGTGTCAATTTCAATAGCGAGAAAATCAATATGAAAATCCAGGAACTAAGACATTATGTGTTGAATTGTAGCCTTCGTTAACATATCACTTTCGAGTCAAGTATGAGTAAATACGCGCAATGATATATTATAATTACAGTTATACATGAATACATATATTTTAGATCTTATTATCTTATTTATTACCTTCGTATATTAAATCAACATTACCTGCATAATTAATATTATTTGTAATGTTATACACATTGTAATTTATTCAATTTTTCACCGAGATGCTTATTTAGATGAATTCTAATTTCCTGTTGACTGTTACATTTTTCTCCACACTCTGGACATTCAATTTCACCTTCTCCATGTTCCTTCTTGCGATGTTTCGACCGATTGTTGTAGGTAGAAAACGATTGGCCACAATCCGGGCATTGGTAAGGCTGTTCGCCTGTATGCTTACGACGATGGTGATCCCTGGAGTCTTTCCGCCTGAAGCTCATGTTACAGTATTCACAAGTAAATGGTTTCCTACCAGTGTGTAGTAAAATATGATTGTATAAGGATTTAGTATCATTGAATCCTTTGCCACATTGTGCACATTTGTATCGCTTCTCGCCACCGTGCTTACTCTTAATATGATTTATTAGCAGCTGCTTGATTCTGTAAGTAGCGTTACACGTATCGCATTGGAATACCGGGCTCACCTTGCCCTCGTGTACCTTTTCTTTGTGCACCTTGAGTGACATTTGATGTTTGAACTTTTCGTGACATTCGTTGCATTCATACCATGGTTTTTGTGTTGTTAATAAGGGATCTTGGCGGTCAATTTGATGAGTTTCCATCATATGATACTTCAACATACGATAGGTTGGCAGATCTTTACTACATATCGAACATGTAAATAATTGCGGTAGCGATACATTCTTATCATTTTTCCAGTGTTTTTCTAAATGCTCATTCATGTTCTGCTTTTTGCTAAAGGATTTATCACATATATTGCAAATATAACGATTGTGGGAGAAATGAGTTTTCCTGTGAAGTTTAAGTGCATTGGTGGTCATGCAGCGCAAGCCACATATGTCACATTGGTAAGGTCTCTCGCCAGTATGTGTGCGATGATGTTCTTTCAATCGTGCTTTCAGCTGAAATGATTTGCCGCACTGCTCACAGATATGCGGTCTAGCTCCTTTATGTACAAAGAGATAATGCTCATATAAGGAATTCTCTGCACTGAATTCCTTGCCACATGTGCTGCAGATAAATTCGTTCATATTTTCATTATGCCTCATCTCATGGAATTCCAGTCTCTCTTTGCGCACAAAATGTTTTGGGCATTTCGAGCAATGATATTGCCGCGGTGAGATCACTTTCATTTCATTTCCATCGACCATTAGAGATAAAGTGGAGTCCTCGCAGGCCGCGCATGTCGCCAAATCGTTAATAGCATCCGGATCTAAATCTGTTATTAATTTTCCACAGAGACTACAATTTGTAGCAACTCGTTCTTGTATTTCGATCGCAATAGCTTTCTGTGCCTGATTGACGGTTATTTCATCCGTGCCCATTTCAAAATGTATCTCTTTAGTACCAAAGTGTTTATGTCTCTTTTGGTGGCCATTTAATCTTGGTTTCTTCGTAAACAATTTGCCACATTGTGTGCAAGCATATCGTATTGAGCTTTTATGTGTGTGGAAATAGTGATCCCATAATAAGTTTTCGTTGCTAGCTTCTTTGTCACATACTGTACAGACATATCTATCCATTTTATCTGATTTATGCCTCTCCATGTGAAATTCATATTTTAACTGTGAAAGATAACGAGCTCCGCATAAGTCACATACAATTTTTGGACAGCTCTTATTATCGATATCGTCGTATTTTGTACCATTTCCAATATGGTCATTTTCAGTTTCTGTTATATACATTATACTATTTTCTTCTTTGAAGAAAATTTCATTACTAAGCCACTCCACGCGTTCCTCTATTTCATCATTTAAAGTCTCGTTTTTAATCAAGATATCTACACATGCATAATCATTGTTCAATACATCAGTATCTGTTGTATTTAATTGCGTTTCTAATTTTTGTGATTTAGTAGATGTTTGACAAGAAATATTTTCTTTAAGTTTTCTTTTTGTACCTTTGCTCAATTGAGGTGATACATTACTTTTTTGAGATGTAATACAAGTGTCAACATGATTTATGTCCTCTTGTAGTATTGGTAAGTTTTCATCCATTTTGTTGATATTTTGTTCTTTGTCATTCAACATATCAGTAACAATACTATGATTTAATGATGATTCATGCAACTCATCTTCAGTATTTGATCTTTTTATACAAGTATTAACAAGTTCTGTTGTATCTTCGTAGGTTTGTATATCTCTTTCCATTGATTTCTCCATTTGATCTACTATGGCCAATGAAATTTGAAATGCATAATTACAATCATCAGGATTGCTGTTTATTAGGATCATTAAACCTATATTGCAATTTGGGCATGTATATATCATATCATTATACAGTTTAGAGACTGTTGCAATTTCCATTTTTTCGGTTTTATTGACCTCAAATAAGGAATTACTCTTTGCCATATTAATATTTTCTTTTGAGTTTTCCACAATCTTTTGGATAAAATCATAGTGAGTGGTAACTTTTTCGTAGCAGTCCAAACATATATATTTAGAATAATCATCCTGTGAAATCTGTAAAAATAGAGCGATACTAATGATTTACAGCAGTTTGTTATTAAAATTTAAATTAACGAATCACATATACACAAAGCATTAATATACCTTGATTGGTAATGTGTCATTTATTTTCTGTGCTAAATTAGTCGCTTCATCAAAGATATACTTTAAATTTATGAGTTCCTCTTTAATACCACACAAACGACATGTCATTGAATTATTTGACATTTCTATAAATTGCTTTCAAACTGTTTTTATAGTTTTTATTAGATTATTTATAAAAGCTGTATAAGGAATTCACATTTTCCTTAAATACTGGCATCAATAGACTTCTTTAAGATTACGATTACCTAATAAGAAAAAAAAAAGCTTGAAAATTTATTAATCCTATGCAAAATATATATTAAATTGTTAAATTTGCACAAAACATTATCATACTAATAATATTATAAATATTCATAATACATGCTAATTATAGTTATCAAGAGCATAATTATCTTTGACTTATATTTTTGTAAATTCTTAGTAAAATGCTCAATTTTAACAATATAAAACGAAAAGAGATTTGAAACAAATATCTAATAATTTCATATTACTACTTAAAAAATATACACTCGTTGAAGCTTCCTTGGAAACTGTAGATTTGACCGTTGAATTTTAAGTGTATTTTAAGTTATTCCTTATGCATAACGATGATAAAGAGGTTAGAACGGTTAGATATATAGAAGAAAATTATCTATATATATCAAAGTACACAATTCTTTATCGAATTCTTCAGAGAGATAGAGACCGCACTTTTGATTGATAACAAAATACAGTACGAAAGTTGTAGTATAAAATTTAAAGAAAGTAACGAAAAGTACAGAAGCGTTGATATGAAATTTTAACTTACAATATTTTCTTATTTTACAATCCATAATTATCCCAATTATTTCTAATATTGGAGGATATTAATTATTACGATTGTAATTTATTATATCGGGCACACAGTTATATTTAATAATTACTGAAATATCTTAGCTTTTATTTCAATATAATTATATATACTGCAATGTCGCCTGTGCTTCTAGATGCGTTCAGAAATTCTACCCGTGAAGTAAAGTGACGTTTCACCGATCAATCAGGAGAAAGGATTTCTCTGTCCTGATTGGTCAGTTAAGCGCGACTCTATCTCGTAGGATTTTCGAACGCTCTCTGTCGACAGTTTCGATATTTCGAGAATCGCAATCGAGTCCGATCACAGTCATCAAGGTCAATGGATTGTGAAGTCGTGTAGTTCCGTGTTTTTCGCAAATGTGTCGTATAAAAGTGAATTCTGTTCGCGAAAATTTGTCGGAAGTTTTTCGTCCTAACGTAAATAGTGTGTAATCGTTATTATTCATCAGTATCGTGTATCGGCATCGATTATATCGGCACAGATTAATAGAATCGGCAATTGTATCTTCCCTACGTTTCCGAAATTCTATCGAATTCGTGATCGAAATTCTATCATATTTCAAGCTGTTTTCCTCCCGAAGTGCAGCGAAAATGCATCGAGTGCAAAATTATTGCCAGGTATATGTATACGTCATCATTCTGCACTTGGTTGCCTTGAATTACATTTTTAATAATAATTTATTTTTTTTGCATATGTATATGTGTATGTGTGTGAGCGTTTTTACCACTAACAAAGATATTTCAAATTTTCTTTGCAGTAACGTGATTGGTCCGTTGGCTTCTGTTATGTTACACTGAGAAGCTGTTCTCGAAGTGCAGATGGCGCGATTGCTCCTCAATAAACGGTACATTTGAAAAGTGTATGTTTCGCGCGCGAATAATTACCGCGAGTGTCTCGTAAAATATCGGTCGTTTGTGTAGTGTATTAATTAAATGTGTAATTGCTATCGTATACGCCGCGTAAAGCATCGCGAATAAGCCATCTGTTTGCGAAGAATATTCAACCCTTCTCTTGACATATCTCAAGTTAGCTCTTCTCTCAGATTGAGCGCAAATTGCAGCGGATGCAGAATCATTATCAAGTATGTATATGATATATAATTTTCATGCTATACATTTTTATGAGATATTTCATCTATTTATAACATTTATTAGATTATTTTGAATTTGATTTCTATTTACAATAATTATAGCGATTAACTCACATTTTGCATAATAGTCATTTATACATATATATGTATCACTTTTTTATACCTCTAAAACCTCTCAAAAATATATATTTCATATCATATTTTAATATCACATATTTAATTAATTTATTGTTTTTTGATTAACTTATTGTTGAGATGTTATTAGCGGTCATTTATATGGAGATTAGATGTTTTAATTATTTAATTAGATACGCGAATGTATATGTGTTGTCTCACATCTTTAAAAACCATCTAATCATTAATAGATTAGGATAGGAAAACAGAGGAATTTAAAATATATCTTACAAAATAATATTATAATTTTCCATCTTTATCACTGCATTATCTACAATAGGCATTATATGATTGTTTAATGATAAGGCAGGTTACATTGAAAATTCAAGTATCACATCATGATAATGTCGTATCATATTTTGAGTTTCTGTGAATAGCATCATGGCTGGTAATTACAAAACTTTTATGAAATTATTGGAATCGTGGCCTCTGGATAAAACCAAAGTGGGCAGGTAATTACAAAAGAATGCAATGCAAAATTTATAAGATATATAAAATTTTTTACAATATTGTAACCATTAATTATTGGTAATATTTAGTATTTTCTTAAAGAAAGGATTATTAGCTAGGTTAAAATATTCTTTTATATACAATGGTATTTTTTACAATTTGTAAATGGAACATTGGTAAATATTGGTAAATGGAACATTTTTTATACTATATATATATTCTCTTTTTTTACCTTTTTATTAATCTATTTATGATTGGGTGATTTTTTAGCGATTTGGGACAACACATACGTGACCAGTTAAAGATTGCCTTTGCAAAGGGTGACGCTAGCCAACCAAATCCAGAACAGTGTAATCGTTATTATGCAAGTTTGAAAAAAATTGCATCGAATCATTATGGGCAACTTTATAGGCGCTCTTTATTAAGCACTGCAAGTGGATTGAATAGAGAGCAGTGTAACTTAGCACTGACGCCAGAAATGTTAGATTATTTAAAGGAAGAAGAGAAGGGATTTCTTTACAAAATTTTTGGAAAGATTCGAAATTTTGTAAACAATGTTAGGAATAAGAATTAGACATTTTATAGATAAGTTCAGTAAGAAAAGGTTTATTGACAAAAAACATGCATTATTGGCAAGTATAGATTTATTATATTCTGTTAATATGAGACAATATAGCAATGTCTGTCCTGATGGATATTTACCTGTTATGGCACAGGAAGTATTAACATATATGGATTTATCACCAGGCAAAACATATGTAGATATGACATTTGGTGCTGGTGGACATACCACTAAATTTTTAGAATATTTATCGGATATAAAGATATTTGCGTTAGATAGAGATCCTGTAGCATACAAATATGCGCAACAGTTATCACAAAAATATCCAGGAAAAGTAATCCCTTTGTTAGGTACCTTCTCTGAACTACCACAATTACTTAAACAGTATAACATCAAAAGAAATAGCATAGATGGATTTTTGTTCGATTTTGGTTGTTCATCGATGCAAATTGAGGATGCGAACAGAGGTTTCTCTTTATTAAAGAATGGACCATTAGATATGAGAATGAATGGATGTTTGAAACAACCTACTGCTGCAGATGTGTTAGATAGAGCAACAGAGGAGGATTTAGCTCGTATCATAAAAGTTTATGGACAAGAAAAGCGTGCTAAAAAAATTGCGCGTGCCATTATTGAGGCTAGATATATGTTTAGGAAATTAGAAACAACACAAGAACTGATTCAGTTGGTTGAATCTGTTCTAGATGATGAAATTAGAACGGATAATCTCGACAAATATTCGCATAGTGCTGTAAAAACATTTCAAGCACTTAGAATTTTTGTTAATAATGAATTAAATGAAATCAATTATGGTATACTTCTTGCGAATATATACTTGAAATTATCTGGTCGTTTAATAACTATCTCTTTTAACTCACTCGAAGATACTATAATCAAAAGACATCTCTCTGGAAATATAACAGATAATGTTGCTAATACTGTGGCATTAAAATATGCGAATTATGGTAAAGTGTTTAATACAAATGAATTTCAAATATTGACAGAAAAACCATGGAAAATGATGCATAAGCATGTTCTAACACCTACAAGTGAAGAAATTGAAATAAATCCGAAATCACAATCAGCGAAATTGCGTGCCATTATGAAAGTAAAATAAATCTTTTGTATTTTAAAATTTGCAATAATTCATTTTCTTTATTGCTATACAAATCTCTTCTCTATTGCTATACAAATATGTTGAGATTGTATTACTTATAGTGCATGTATATGTGTGGGTGTATATATTCATATACAATACATTTATTTTAATGGAATGTATATTATTATCATGTTGTATATAACATCAACAATATATCATGTTGTATATAACATCAACAATATATCATGTTGTATATAACATCAATAATATATTATTATGTTGTATATAAACAAATAAAAAATAGCTCTTGAGTGAAAAAATTTATTGATAATTATATAATTGATATTATATTGAAATTATATATTGATAATTATATTGCGCAAAAAAAGGGAATAACTGAAAACTTATTAATATACATCACATTGTAGGAATGTTTTTTTCTACTGAAAAATAGTTCTTTTAAAATAGGCCTTCTATTTCATCTGTTTCGCTATTCCAATCCATATCATAGATACTTGGTCTAGTTGAAAGTCCAGGCATCATCATAATCTAGAATACATTATTATAATCTAAGATAATGTAAACGTTATTTAATTGATAATTTTTTTTTAATTTAACTGAAAGAGAATCATTGCACTTACCTCACCCACCATAGGAACAATAAATCCAGCGCCAACCGAAACGAATATATTTGTAATATTAAGAGTGAAACCGGTTGGTGCACCTTTGATAGCTGGATCTCCAGTTACAGAATTCGCTGTTTTTGCCATACATATTGGGAATTTGTTGTATCCTAACTTATTATAATTTTCAATCTTTTTTTGTACCTATAATGGATAGTTAAAATTAACTTTTTTATAAATTGAGGTATTATATGTATGTGGAAACATGTGCTTATATGCATATTTCTGCTGTATATAAATATTTTCAAAATTATCGTTTATAACTCTACACTATATTTTATATGTATGATATAGAAAATTTATTTACCGCTTCTGTAAAAACAACTTGACCAGCGCCATACATTTCTTTAGCGATTTTATTAATTTTCTCCTCGATACTGTCCTCGAGATTGTACAATAGCTTGAAATTGCTAGGTTTTTCAGTAGCAGCTATCACTGCATCCGCAAGTGCTATAGCACCTGGCCCACCATCAGCCCAATGAGTGCATACTACTGCATCAGCTGCACCACTCTCTAACGCTGCTTGTTTAACGAGTTCTAACTCTCCTGGGGTATCGGTCCTGAAAGATTAATATATTTATAATTTACTCCATAATTTATAATTGATCATATTAAATTAAATTACAGTTTTTTATATCCGTATTTGTTTACAGAATTTATATAAATATATGACAATATTTCAAATCATTAAACATATACGCAAAATTATAAGATTATAATTGATAAATTACGATAAAAATTTTTTCTAAGAGAAAAGTAAGACATGCATTCATTGCAGACATAATTTAAAAAAATAAAAATATTTAATTAAATAAGATATTACTGTGCGTATACAAGATTATTCATCGCGCGTGCTCTTGTAACTATTAAGATGTGATTCTTTTTGAAAAATTAAAGAGAGAAACTCACGTGTGAGAATTAATGGCGACAACTACGGGTATGCCATATTTCAGGCCATTGCTAATATGTTTTTGTAAATTTGGTAAGCCTTTTCTAACAAGTTCGATATTCTCTTCGAGATATTCTTTCTTTAAGGGTGCTCCAGTTGTCACTGGTGGTCCGCCACCGTGCATCTTTAATGCTCTGATAGTCGCCACGAGTACGACGGCATTCGGTACGTGTCCTGAAGCGCGACATTTGATGTTACAGAACTTTTCCAGACCGATATCCGATCCGAATCCGGCTTCCGTTACTACAATGCCTTGTGGTCCGACCAATTTTAGGGCAATAGCATCCGCAATAATTGATGAACAACCGTGGGCTATATTGGCGAATGGTCCAGCATGTACCATTACTGGTGTACCTTCCAATGATTGCATAAGTGTCGGTTCTATGGCATCTTTTAGCAAAATCGCCATTGCTCCCGTCATACCCTGAGGACGAATAGATATTTAGAGAAGCGATAAATTGTTTTCATCTCGTGAAATTATGAAGATATAAACATTGTTGTATGTACTCATTGTGTATCAATCGTCTCATATTCAACTGTAATCGTATAACTTTACGTTTATATGATTGAAATTATTAATTATTAACTTGCACACTGTTTAACGAAATATATAACATATATTTCGTTAAACAGTGTGCAAGTTAATAATTAAAAAAAAAATATATATATATATTTTTTTTTGTAATAATTTTATAAATATATACTAACAAAATCTTCAGCAGTTAAGGGTTCGCCGCTTTTATTAAATCCGACAACAATGTTACCAAGTCGGTTCTTCATATCGTCAACATTAGTCGATAATGCTAGAATGGCCATTATTTCAGATCCAACGGAAATACAGAACGAGGTTTCTCGTGTCTTGCCTTTCTCGGTTGCACTTTGACCAACTGTAATCTTTCGTAAGAAACGATCGTTGATATCCACCGCTATAACAAAAAAATATTGATAAATTGTTGCGAATAAATTCTTTTTTTTCGTGGAATATATTTTTCTTTAGCTTTTGTGCGTGTGGATGCGTGCGTGTGTGCGTGCGTGCGTGTATGTGCGACCATTTTTCAGCAAGCGACACATTGTAATACAGTGAATTCCATCCTTGTTTACATTCGGCAATCAACAAGGATGAAATGATTCACTGTGTTACACTGTGTCAATTGTGTCTCTTGTTGAAAAACTGTGTTGCCCTGTGTATATGTGTACGGTCGCACCTCGCGTCCATGTGATGTTGTTTGGATCGATATCTAATCTTGCAAATCGACTTTGCTCCTCTTCCGTTAACGTTTTCGGATCGGTTTTCGTGATGCCAAGTTTTTGCAATCGTCTTAGCTGGATTTTCGAAAACTGTCTGACACCCTTAATGCTTGGTACGAGCCGATCATACAAGGCTTTATCGCTCTGGGTCAACTCGTGGAAATATCGCGCATCGATTTGTGCCGCGAGAAGATTGTTTGCAGCGGTGACGGCATGAATATCTCCAGTCAAGTGTAGATTGAACTCTTCCATAGGAATTACCTAGAAAATCGATGCTGATATTAGATTAGTGTCGAAATAAAGTGATAACAAATAATTATTAAAAAAGAGCTCTGACGTAAGTAAAATAAGATAACGTTAAAATGGGATAAAAAAAGTCAATGCGCGATTAATTCAAGGATATACATATTTAAATTTCTGTGTGTTAGCTCTTATTAGCTCATTTTGATATTAAAAATAATTATGTTTTCATAAGTATCGATATTATCTGGAGAAATTTCTTTGTCATACCTGTGAGTACCCTCCTCCAGCAGCACCGCCTTTAACACCGAATGTAGGTCCCTGACTAGGTTGTCTAAGGTTGACGAAAGAATTTTTGCCTCTATGCGCTGTTAATGCCTGTACCAGTCCAAGGGAAGTCGTACTTTTTCCTTCACCAAACGGTGTCGGCGTGATGCCCGCTACCACAACATATTTTCCATTTGGTTGATCTTTCAATCGTTGTAACACGCTGAGACCGACTTTGGCCTTTTTACTGCCATAAGGACTAAATTCATTCGACAATAGACCGATTTCGTCGGCTAATATAGCGATCGGTTTTGGTTGTTGACTTCTGGAGATATTAATATCACTCGGTACAGGTCTCACAGGATTCAATTTAAGAATTCGTAGTTTCCACTCGACATTAAGAAGTTTTTGCGCCGATTTTTGCGCGGATATTACGGTATTTTTCATCAACATCGCTACTGTCATCGGTCCAACACCGCCTGGTACCGGTGTAATGTACGAAGCTACTTTGACAGCTTCTTCGTATGCTACGTCTCCCACCAAACGTTGTCCGCCTTTTTTTGTAGAATCTAAAATATTCAGTATATGGTAATGTCGATTGTGATTCTTTTTCTTCAATTCTTCGATATTTTGAATGTCTTAGTGCTACGTGTAAAAGATTAATAATATTGCCCAATATTAATTTACTCTATGAAAAGTATATGAAAATAATTGTGAACAAAAAACATCAATAATAATTCAAAGAATGAATAATTTTTTATACATACGCTCGCGCGCACACAATTCTTTAGACTAACCGAGTAGAAAAATATTCGTAAAAAACTGATTACAAGTTAGAAACTATTCAGTTTTTACTATTTTATGATTTACTAGCTGCTCAAGATTAGATAGTAAAAAATTCTATTTAGATAAAATTCATGTGTTTAAATGTAGTCTAGCTGATTAGGACACAGGTAATTTTATTTTTTAATAAATGGCACTTTTTTAAAAAAACATTATTTTAGTTGAAAAATAATGTTTTCGTCAAATATCTGTTTGCAATGAAACTAAAAAAATATGAAAAAGAAATTAAATACAAAATAGATTAATGTTACATAATTATTAAATAAAACGAAAATTGTTGTTGTTAAAATTATTTATTATTTTTACCAAAGAATAATAAATGATTAAAAAATATTTTTTATATCATTTTGTTTTTTAATTTATTGTTTATAAATTTATATATAGTATTTGTAATTTATATGAACTAATATATCTACTTGATGATGTTATTTCTTCATATATATTGTTTCATATATTTAATGATTAACTTGATAATAAGTTATTGCTTTATATATTTTAATGATAAGTCTTATACACATTCAAAAACTAATTATGACGTACGTATTCGTAGACCAACTGAAGTTAAACTAAAGAATTGAGAAGAATCGTATCATATTATACTATTTTGTCTTTCATAACTTGAAATATATGGATAGCAGTCTTTTATGTCGTAACAAAAGAAAGGGCAAGAAAAAGCAAAGAGGAAAAATTCGAGAAAAAGAGATAATGTATGATAAGATATATATAAGCGGATATTAACATGTTCACAATTTATACCTATAAGCATGGATATTACTTATATATTCAAAGAAAATAATATAAAATATATTTTAAGACTTCTATAAAAATGTTAGTATAATTAATATAATCAATTAATGTTATTTACATATAACATTTATGTACATATAATATTTATAGATTTATAGACTTACAAGAGTCTTTTGTATGGAGCAATATAAATTATATTTTTTTTTAATTTGTTACCATTGTGATATATTCATATTTTTTACTTTTAGATTATTGCGATTTCTATATGTGAATTACTCTAATTCATATATAAAACAGTGGAT